TATTTTGGCCATGGATATGTTTGATGAACGCCGCTGGCTAATTGGCATCAACAGATGTGGATATTTCATTACGCCTCTTGCAACATTCTGAAGCATTCTGCCTAGTTTGAGCTTGGTATGAAAATCAACATTCCCTTAATCAAAGGTGCATACAGTCACATCTTTTTTGATTATTCCCAGGCAGGAAGTGCACCTCCATCAACTAAAAACATAATCACATTAACTAACTGTTGGTTATCTACACACACACCCAATGTTAATGATATCATTGTGCTAACTCTCTCATGTTAGTCTGGTCCATTTCAGAGGGCTCAAGTACCAGGTAATGATGTACTTACGCAAACAAACAGTCTTCTACCATATGAGACATGCCTTCTGTAGAAAGTCTCTACTTTGTACCAGTGAAGGCATGTTATCAACAGACTTAGACTTGATAATATGCCAGTTCATACTTACTGAACATACCAAAACAATACTGACTGACAGGAAGACAAAATCCATGGACACTTGTAGTAACTTCTATTAGAAGATATGCTGTACTGCAAAAGATGTTTTGGAAAGCCCCTGAGCTCCACCTGTGGCGTCAGACGAGAACAGTCTGCAGACACTACATTGTAAATAGACGGTGGTAGATGAAGACAAGATGAACAACACAGAGGTGAATACAACAAAGCTCCAGAGAAAAGATGTGTGCTTTTTCCATGAATGCTAGGCAACCAGGAAAAGGGACATAATCCTCAGTATTGGTCAGCAATTAAGTGTACAGAGCCCTTCAAAGTGGTTTAAAGCAGAACAAAGGACATTGCCCATGTTCTTTGTGCCCAAGAGAAACACTTCACTTGGTGGGACACAAAGTCAATAGCAAGAGCACATTCTGACAGTCAGCTCATGGTTGGCAAGAGACCTCTATGAGCCAAAGCCTGTAAATGCCAATTAGTATACCACAGGAAGTCCTTCAGCCACAAATTTTTATCCTTTTGTGACTGATGGGATGCAATGGTGCCAGCAGCCAGCAAGAGCTCTCCCACCATATTCTTCACAAGGCTCCTGCATTGGGTCGCATGATGCTATTATGGTATTGCATATAGGAATCTGAGGGGGTATGACTTCTTCCTCCATGCCAGTGCTAGGGAGCTGCTAAGGTCCAGAATCTAAAATGGGTGCATATTCAATCTGGGAAGCCATTGGTCTCCTGAATCAGGGTTGAGCTCCCCAGAAGTTGGCCTGTGAAAGCTCCACTGAGACCTCATGTCCACAACTGGAGAACTTGAATTTTAATCCAAAAGGTCAAACAATTAAAGCCTTGAAAGATGGGTGGAGTGAAAGGGGAAAGGCTTCCAGATTCTTAAAAGACTTATTAAAATTGTGGAGATCATGGGTGAAAATCAAAGACCAAAAAAATTTGATATATTTTTGTTTATTATTGCTCTCAGAGGGCTTGGTAGTCAATTATACAAGCTATTTTCTATTAAACCAGAAGAAAATAGTGTAAAATATAAAATCTATGCTCACTGTTCCAATCCAAGCCACTTGCTCATCTTCATTAGAGACATTTACTGCAGCTATTTCCAATCATGTTAATTTATACATACTCTGTATATATATATATATATAATTATATAATTAAAAAAAAACCTATCTGAAGAGACAAAAGTTCAAAATGAAAATATTCTTGCACTATTTGTGCAGTGTACTGTGCACTGTTGTACAATTCAGTTTTCCAAATGGTTACCAATATGTCTGCTTAGAATAGTAAAAATTAAGCAAATGATAGTATATTTACTAACTTTCAAAACAAAACACGACCAATATGTTATGATAAGAAAAGAAAATACATTAAACATGTGCTTATTCTCCCCTTGACGTACATGCACTAATCCCATTAACTCTAATTAGGAGTTGCATGCACTAAGAGGAGACAAGACCTCTATAAAAAGAAGGGATTTTTAATCTTTTCCCCTGTATAGTGCCCAACCCCTCCCTCCCGCCACTAAGAAAGGGGAAATATTTGTTAAATTCTGGTAGCTTCTACCAGTACCAAGGCCCCTGCTCACAGGTAACTGTAAAGTATAACCAGTGGTCTTCCTGCTTTGCTCTTGTTACCAAAGCAAGTGCCATTTAAATATGTTGAATATCATCTTCAAAAAGCAAGTATACAGCATCTGTTAAGTCTTCCTAACAAGCAAGAGTTATAGCCATTACCCAAATTAAAAAAAAAAAAATAGCAAGCCCACCTGTTTTGGTCCTCTGGTTAGAAAACATCAAAGAAAACCAGGGATTTTGCTTTATCAGCATTAAGAATTCTAACTGTTTAAAAAGAGTGCAAAAAAATGCCTGGTAAGAAAACACACAATCATGGCCGTATTCTGCCCCTCAGAAGCCGGTGTTCAACTTTCACCGAAGTTAAGAGTTGTGCACCCCTTTTTTCCCTTAGGAAGCATGGCATACTAACACAGGGGCTGAGAGCGCAATGCTTAGCTGGAGATGGCTCTAACAAAAGACGTGGATGCCATGAGACAATCTTGAAAATTCTCTCATTAAAAAAGACCCCAAATGAACAGTCAGGTGCATGAGAAAGTAATGATGAACAACCCCAAATGCAGCATTTCAGTAAGCGATTAAATTATTCTAAAACTTGAAGTTCAAAAGAAAATCCTTATGGGTAAATATCTGTGGGGGAGGAGGTTAGAGTGAATATGAAAAGAAGGTAAAATATTACACTTTTACCTTTGGCTACCACAACAAAGAAAAAATAAATCAGTGTTTTAATGAGGTCCAGCCTTCACAGAACTGAAATAAATATTCACGAGTTTGGGTTAAGACGAAAGGATGAGAGGTAACACAACATCATTTTAACCTTTAGGGTCAAATTCTGCCCTCAGTTATACTTGGGCAACACATTCCACTGCCTACTCTGGAGTGTAGCCGAGTGCAGAATTTGGCCTTTAAACTTGAAGATATAAGCAGTTTCCACTTATTTATGAATACCCAACTACACACACATACAACGGCACTCTGCACAACTTTACAATGTGCGTTTGGAAAGAGACTGGCACAGCCAAGGTTCCAATCTCCAGTTTTCAACTATAAGCCCAAAAGCCAAGTGATCAAAATGGTAGATATTAAAACCCCCTGAAGATACCTCAACAACCAACTAGTGTTTCCACCTCTAACAACATGGCTCATCTAGCGATATATCTCATATCAGTGTCCTACCACAGCCAGCTAAGAAAAGCAGCACAGACCACTGTACAGTCAGAAAATGTAGGGTGGAATCCTGGCCCACTGAAATCAATGGTAAAACTTCTATTGACTTCAGTGAGGCCAGGATTTGACCCCTAAACACTACAGCAGTGATATCAGACTGTCTTCTGCGGCTCTTTGTAGCACATGCTATTAAAACACTGTGTGATTTAATTATTAACCAATCAGGGTGCTTTTACTATGTTATTAACCAACTGTAGTTGATAAAATAATACTTGGTCAATCATTTTGCTCTGAGAATAATACATATATACACACACAAACTATTTCCCCTGTCAGACTATTTCAATATGAATATATAGTACTATAGTAAATGAAACAATGAATTCACACTACTATGGCTCTTTTGGGTAATGTCGATCGCTAATTTGACTCCTGAACCACTGGGTATCACTGCGTTAGAGACACTAATTGCACCCTTTCTTTTTAGTGTTGATGCAGATAAAGAAAAATCCTTTCCAGGAT